CTAGGAGATAATGTGGTAATCCTAGCATAATACATCTTACAAATGATCTCAATCAGAAACCTAATATCTCCATAACCCCTAAACTGATAATTACCAGGTACTCACTGGTGACTACCTTAGTGAGAAAATTCTCAGAGTTCTAGTGAGAAGAAGTGACCAGTGGAGCAAATCCGTGTCGGGGAGAAACAGGTGTCTACTTCAGTACAATGGAAGGTGTTCGCGCGATTTCGTGGGTTGGTTGAGGTCAGACATTAACACCATTGGATGCCGACTACGTGGTCCAGTAGGTTAAGTGTTCGCGCGCGAGACTAGGGGCCATGGGTTCGAACCCCGGAAGCGGGATCGTGGATGCGCATTGCTGAGGAGTCCCACAACAGGACGAAATGCCCGTCCGGTGCTTCCAGGTTTTCAATGGTTGTCTAAAATCAATCGATTCATAATCTCGATTAAAATGAACAGATCGCGTAAGTAAGTGTTATCACTTTTAGAGTTCGTGCCAACAGCATTTGCTCGGTTACTGGATGTGTCATGTTGACGGAGTAAAAGGCTGCTCTTTATTCAAGCTTGAGATTCCAAAAACTTGTTAAATGTTTCACATAGATCCGTTGAGTCACTGTTGATTGTGTCATCCTGGATAGGAAATGGGATATCTTTTGTCTTATGCGTTTGTTTGCCTAGAACAGATATTAAGCGCTTGACATGGAGCTAATTCCAAGTCAGTCAAATACATATTTGCTGTCATTTCGTTCACATAATACATTTACAGATCCATAACTTTCATATATCGAGTGCTAGGATGAATAGCCTTTAAAAGTGTGTTGTGCAGAAAGTTTTCTGACTTTCGTGCGGCAATTACGTAGCAGGAAGGAAGGAACGTCACTATGAATCCTGTGCACTTCTGCGGGGATTCAAACAAGACAGCACAGTCCTGTGGAGGGTCAGCATTGCTTCTGATAATGAGTTGTTAGTAAAATAGTATTCCCAATCATAGAAATTCATAAGATTCCCCAGCGACGCCTAGTCTGCTTGCCGTGAATATTACTAACACTTTGTGTTCAGTGTATCTATCTACAAAAAACTATAAACTACCTTATAATCGCTAGTAGGGAACACTTGATCAACCTGGGTAAGAAATAGGATACCGTTTGTTTAGCGTATGCGTTTATTTAGAAATTAGGAGTAAATGCTCTTGTTAAATGACCACATCTATGTACGTAAATAAGAAATTTCAGAAATATTTGGACTTATGACACTAACGTTCGTTATTTTTACTGAATATATGTTTTATGTTTTCAACATTTAAATGATGGACTGGACTTAGTTAATGTAATCGCGATCAGTCCATAAGCTTCTATCTATGAAAATGTCGACATCACTCATAATACTTGATCACTTATGTGGAGTTCTTCAATGGTGTGGTTAGTTCATAAATAATTTCAAAATACATGATGAGCAATAGAAGTATTAATATCCATCTTTGGATCTAGACCTACCTTTCGAATTTTACAATCAGAGAGTGTTAACCAATCAGTACCAAGCAAATGAAAAGTGTGAAAGTTTGTGCGTTTGATGTCGATCGAAACCAAGATTAATATAGTGAATTCGCTTAGATTGAAGAATACTGATGATGTCACAGGTATTCAGTGTTTGACAACGCTTCTACCAGTAACACCTAATATATTTCGTTCCCGCCCAGAGAAATCAGAAGACAGAGTCGAGGAGATCGGAAGAGTATAATTGGCGATGACCAATATACCGGAATTCTCTGATCTAATCTGGCTAGCGATTGCGGTTGATGTTGAGCACGGCGTTACCACACGTGATCTGGTGCGGACGCCTGACCAAGCGCCTTCAGCTAGATGAGTCCACTAAAACATATGGTCAGCATCCAATGTCGAAAACTTAGAGCTATTTTGGGGGGGATTTATTTACCGCTACAATACGTACCCTTTGTTGTAGCACTGATGAAGAACTAAAAAAACCGGAATCTCGCCTTAGAAATAACTAACAATTGTAAATAAATCAATACATCTATGTTAAATCATTACAGAGATATCAAATATTATAAATACAAAGTGTTTATTGTACTTTGAATTTTTGTTTTATGTTGCTTAAGTGAGAACTGTTGCCATAACTGATTCCTAGTAGGTGAATTGAAAATGTCTCTTCACACAGAAATTGCTAGAGATAGGTCTTTTGGTATCCCTGATCCACATACTGTAACTGAACTGTCAAACTATGTAAATTTATAATTTTGTTCTTCATAATATTTCAGATGCAAAATATTTTTCAACAAATGCAAGAAACATTACAGCAAACAAGTGAAAAAATAACTACAAGAAATATCCTTTTTCTCTCCATTGGAGTTGTCTGCTCTAACTAGTATTTGATCTTAGATGGATTTTGTTCTTCATCGTTTCTGGCTATCGTCTAAAAACTTAGAAATGATTCAATAATATCGTTCATCTTCCGCAAAATTTAATTTGCTGAAAGGTGTAGTACAGTGTAAGTTATACTTTAGTATGCGTAATAGAGGTCTGATGATGAGAAAATTGGCACATGTGACTCTGATTGACAGTTGACGTGCATAAAAACAGATAGGTATTTCTATTGGCCATAAAAACAATTTCATTTGGGCTGCCATACGTCAGCAACGTAAACTTGGCACGTATACACACACGTTCATGCTAAAAACATATATCAGGAGGATGCGAGTATAATTTATTATAGTAACGTCATCCTTGTTAGTATGAAAGACCAAACATAAACAGTACGATTCGCGAACGAATTTACAAGATAGAATAGTATATTGATGATCATGAAGTTTGAAATGTAAGACGATAACGGAATATTGTCCCAGAACAGTTGTGGTGAACTTTGAATTATGTAATATAACATTCCTAAAAACTGATTGTGGAAGTCTCGAGAACTCCTACCAGGCAGTCTGTACTTGCGAACATGGCTCGGTCTAAAAGAGGATGACTTCATCGAGTGATAGAACATCCTGTTTTAGCTGTGTCGCAACTTACTTCCATACCAGTCAAATAAAGTGCTAAAAACAATTGATTCGTAGTCTCATCATGTAGTGTCTTTGACTATATTTTAAGACCGTCTTGAGAAATCAAATTTAGAAGCCTGCAAACTTTTGCATGGTATTCTACAAGAACATGTAAGAGCATTAGCTCAACCTACAATGCTTATTTTTCATTCTCCAATTACTTTCTAATATAGCAACTTTATCCACTTGTTGAAGAGTATGATAACGTGAACCCATAGACGTATCTCACTAGTTCGCTAATAATTGACACTTTTCCTTAACCACAGCTTTCTACTTGAAGAAATGGGGTCGAAAATAGATTCGTTAGAGAAAAATGTTGCAGACCTCATGACACAAGCTGGAGTTCATGAAGGCTAACCCTTCAACATCAACAACTTATTATATGATGATTTCTAATATACTTATGTAACCGAAAATGACGATATATTCAACCACACTTTTTTTCAAATAATCGAGGTCAGAACAACTAGTAACTGTATAGCCAATCACTTGACAGAATACTACGAGTAATCAATTATAACCACTCATCGAATAGTTAAAAGATGAGATCTTTAATGAGGAAAATACGATCCGACAACGTACATACAGTCAACTTCAACTTATTAGAACGGTTTACACTGGCATGATGTTCGAAAATAAAATAACTAGATGACATTCGACCAATCATTCATCGATTCGCAATGGACACATAGGATAATAAAACGATTAAAGTATGATTATTACAGCTTCTTATGGGTTAGGATAAATTTAATGTAGTAAAACCCGCTCAGAATCACCCGTAATGCATTGGCGAAAAGAGAATATGAACACTTTCTAATACCTTTTGTGCTTAGCATTAGTTGTTGAACTTCACGTAGGGAAAAGCAGTCTCGCTTTGGAACTTTAGAAGGCCGTGGAGGGATTTCGCTCGAATATATATATTGACGTTGAATAGCTAACTGAGCAGATGATAATTTTCACCTGAATCTACCCTAATGAAATTTAATAGTTTTAAACGTCTTTTAGGATAAGGCAAGGAGTAGATACGGACCACAAAATTTGAATTCGGTGGTGCATCAACCAATTTTTGAGCTAATGAAACTTTGCCGGCGACCTGAGTTTTTAGTATTTCCATGGTTTTTAAAGTTATATAGGAACACCAGGGTGGAAGCAACTATCTGTGAAGTACTGGCATAGTTAGAAAAGTGACAGGTTACTGCGATCAACATCAAGAAATTTTTCATTACCCATTCTTTTCTGTTGTAGTCAATCACTTCAAACCTGTTATCGTTGGACACCACAAAGGCTTAGAGATACATGTAGATGAGTCACCAAAAGGCCTACCAGGTAGTGATTCACTTTACTAAACGCACAATTGCTTTACATCTAGTCATAACATCGAAAAACAGCTGTCACCATGTAAATACGCATATAAAGTTATTCCCTTCACTATACTCAAACACGCACTGCTGGCATTACTGAAATGTAGTTGCTAATGAATGAGATCAAGATGTGATGCAAGACCCAATATCTTCATGCTTCATAAATATACAGCAGGCTATCTTGCGATGCAACAGTTTACACCTAATTTTATGGTTAGATAAGTAGTCAGGAAACTGAACTGTTTTTGTAGCTACGTGGATTTATAATCTATGTTGTATGAATTGGGACGGTATTTAAGATGGAAATGATAGACAATATGCTCGTTGTTACCATGTGCATTATATTGGCTACTTGTGAAGGTTGAGAAAATCACTTCATTGGTTTGCCATATCTCTGGACCATACAGCAATTTATCCGAATATAACCCTCGTGATTTAGAGGGGCAGGGCTGAAGAGGTTCTGGACAAACACACGTCAAGTATTGTGAAGAAATAACGTAAAATAGTTGGACATTGGTAGTCAAAAAGATTCACAGAGCTGGAACTGTTTGCCACGTCTAGAAAATACAAACGGAAGAGGTAGTAGTTATAATTATATTTTAAATGTATGGTGATACAAAGCACTGCTCAAAAAGATCGGACATTATTTTTAATGAAGGGGAAGCATGTATTTACACTGTAAAAGAAAATATGTACGAATCCGAAACTGTTCGAAGCGAATAGTGAATAGGCTTGGTGTAGCCATTATCTATTGTAATGGTCCGTTGAATGTTGAGTAATGAGTCAAAAGAACAATCCTGCTTGATTACTATTATGATATGTTTTTCTCGATATAATTGCACGAGTAAGAATGAGAGGTTTGGTGAAAGCAGTATGAGTAGGAGTGACTGGCACCTCTAAAAACAAAACAACATTAAAGTCAATTAACCACTTATCACGTTTTATACAACATATGATAGTGAAATGAAAATGTTTAAGCATGGTGACAATGGCAAAATTACTTAGAAAAAATGAAAATTCTTAACGAAATAATTTTTAAGAAATATCAGATTATATTTGCGGTCAATCTATCCAAATATTCAGAAACGCTTATCAATATTGTACAATTGGACATATTTTTACTTATTTAAACCTCAAACTCGACATAACGTGGAGACCAAAGGATGCAGTAATGGTATTATTTTTTATTTGAATATAAGGGGACATCAGATACATATGCAACACACATCTCGTTATATGATGGTTAACATACAAAAAGGACCGATTTACAAATAACCACATGTAAACATGTATTTTTGTGAATTACTTATAGTAAAAATAATGCCGGCTCAAAAAATGTTTCCCAAAAAGTGTTTGAAGTATTGCCATTTGTCTCAGAATATAGAATATAGATACTAACTGATAATCTAGTTATAATTTTGTGATAATGTTCAGTTTCTTGCTTGTGATTAACATCATAATGACTATGTTGTTTTTTGAACCGACTAATCATCACGTGACTTATTTGCCAATCGGAACATGACTTATAAAATCACAGCTCTGCAACAAACCAATGACGTGCCGACCGGTATGAGCAGCCTGGCATACCTATCGGTCATTTTCTTCCTAGCCCTGCCAGTTGAGTTCAGAAAACCAATACCAGCTTCCCAATATACGAATAATTTATTTCAAACAAAACTGGTTTATATACAAGCCAAGCGGACCATATCACACTACAAAATAGGAAACAATACTTGTACAAGATCAAGCCAAAAAATGACTGTGATTGCGGGAGACTATAATCAATAAACTGGACATAACTTAAGACCAGGAAATCGTATATTAATAGTCTATAAGTAAAAATAAGTTTATAATAAGAGGGATATTAATATACATAATCTAGTTACCGAATAGTTATACAATGAGAATATACGTGTAATATTCGTCCATAAATAGATCGCAGAGGTTACCTATAATTTGATCGTCAGTAGGATATAACACACTGAACGACAATGATAGTGAATTATAGATCCTATTTAGTTCGTATACACTCTACCGACAAACTACGTTCGTACAAAGTAGATAATAAAAGTATAAATAAGCATTATATTTGGGGTACCTATATTTTAGATATGCTGAAGTTGCATGGTAGATAAGCAAATGAAAGATACATAGTGTATAAAGCATTGAAGTTCGGTAATACACCGACTCAGAGAGTAACAAGGTGACCGATTTTTTATAAGTCATGAAGGAAATGGACAAACACACGTGTATAAAACATGACCAGGGATACACGTAACCAAACAGGGGCAAATACATAGATGAAAATATATGGGAATATTAGAACTTATATGTCCAAATGTTCGAATAAATCACGGTGTGTAACAATAATAAGTGCGTCGTCTAGTCACCTGAAATTATTTAGCCAAGATAAATATCCTAATCTACAAATATATTGCAATTTTACTTAATAATTAACTAGAATTTCTGAGGAACCCGAAGTGACCAGTTCATTATTGGCTAAAAATGTTTTTATTAGTTCACGAAGATATGGTTTGTTCCTTACTAGACTATGATTACGAATTAAAATAAAAGAATAATAACCGATTTTAAATGGCCAATTTTGGTACAGAATAGTATCAGAAGGCTGACAGATAGTGTGTAATAGTAGTATTGTGGTGTATGCTACTTATGCCAACAGACATAAATAGTATGTAACACCAAACAGAAGTTGAATGCCTGTAAAAAGAAGGTTGAGAAGATTACACTCAGGAATACGGGAAGGGAAACTTAAAGGAATTGAGAAAAAAATGATTTATGCATCGATGTCCATAATTAGGAGCACTAGGTTCACTGAGTAAACTGCTTGAAGATAATTCAATTAATGACAAAACTTACACTTAACAGCAGTGGAGGCATACGCGAAATTACGAAGTTGAATTAATCCTTCTATTAATATCTACGTTACCTAAACATTGAGTAGTTAATCATTAATAAAACCTAGTGAAGTAGAACTTATTAAAACACAAAATATAAACAAGTTTTGACCTCTCAACCGCTATACTGAAGAGTGAGAATACAATTTACAAAAACAGACAGATGAAGGACGATGTATTGGGCCAGTCTGAAACTGATCAAACCGAACAAGAGTATGCGATCGATCAAGAAACAGAGTTCTATTTCTAAGTTAAGAGAGATACACTATTGATGGCTTAATTTTCTAAGTGACAATATATTATGTATATATGAATGAGTAAACAAACATTAACGATTTAGCTTAGTCAATGGACTTCCTCTCCACTTTCCATCGTTTTACTCACGAGGTGATAGGGCTCGTGTTTAGTAAGACTGGGTATCAATATTAGAATCGGACACTGCACATCAACACAAAATTAGCATTTATTTTCGTTACTGAATAGAAAACGTTAGTTCATACATCAATAGTGAGGTTTTCAGTAGGTTAGCCAAACGAGTTTGCTATTTCATCTGCATCACAGTGCAAATGAAGAAAATGCCTATCTCAAAAATCAAACATAAATTTGACAACAAATAAGTAAGAAACTGTGCTGAAACAGTAGTTCTTGTGAAATAAGAATTCCCTATTATTGATTGCATGTTATAATAGTAGCTCGACAACTCAAAAAGTATATATATATATATATATATATATATAATATTTCCCCCACAATTATTTTGGTGGATACAAAAGTGCATGTAAAAACTAATAACGCTAAAGGTATAAAATAATCTTTTAACGCCAACAACTAATGAGTTACTTATATGACACGTCTAAATCGACGAACTTAAACAACAATCATACTCGTAATTCATAATCGTTGTGACGGTTAAAAATGTCAATGTCTACACAACCCACCCTCAGACGAGCCTGTTTAACATAGTAGGAACTAAATCAGAATGTGATCCAGGCAATGTAGCTCTTGGCTGAGTCATCCGATAGGCAGGTCCAACCATCACGTCAAGGTGTAGCAGCTACAGTCGAGTTGCAGGTGCGCCAACACTTTGTTTCTCCAGATTCTAAGTTCCTAGATTCCACAAAAATTCTTTTCTATTTTCTTGGATCCCTGAACTTTCCTATCATCACTAATACTGTTCTGCTTTCACTACTATGGGATTTGCCTTAATAATTCAATTTCACAGTGCTAATGAGGTACGTCAACTTCAATAGATGTAAACACGTTCTAGGTACTACACTGCGTTCGACTGACTGAGTATATTACCAATGGAGATGTAAGGCAAAACTTAACACAAGTAAACAGTATTATTTGAAATTTCTACATCGCTACAACTGGAAACAATCATAGTCGACTCTATCTATATAAAAAAATCGGTGCTTAATGTGTAGTGTGATGCGCCTAGCCAAAACTATAGTATAAATTAGTACGAATGTTTTATCTAGTAAGCTCAACTAGTTGCACATTATTCACAAAATAACAACATTGAAAAAAAACATTTACAATTTGGTTCAGTTGTTAATAGGATAAACATTATTTCAACAGACTGGTTATTAATATAAAAAATAATCTTTAGATCCTAACGTCATGGTACGACCAAATAAAGTTCCAATATTGGGGGCTACTGGATACAGACTACCCATACGAAGATGCTATGAATTACTATTGAGGGATGTCAATTCTTCATACATGTCTTATGAAGTTTTAGTTAGCGAAACAAGACTCTCAATTTAGGGTTTAACAATTTGTTTTTACTAGCTTGTAAGGAAAATTCTGATGCTTTACTTAAAGATTTGATAGATGCGTGCGCCATGTGCAGTAGAGATATGAAATTCAGCCTATAAAACCTCAAGTAAAGGGTGATCCAATCTTTCTTAAAGGAAGAATAATTCCTTATGGTCTTCCAGAAGCAGTACATAAGACAATAAATGATTTGTGTGAGAAAGGTATAATTGAACCGATTCAGTCTTCAGCATGAGATACTCCTATTGTTACGCCATTGAAGTTGGATGGCAATACCTTTAGAATATGTAGTGACTTTAGATTAACACTGAACTCCCGTTTGTTGAGACAGACATGCACGACGTTGAAGTCTAAATCGACTTAATGATTCTGAAAGGTTCTCGAAAGTCGACTTAAAATATACTTATCTTCCCAAATAAATGCTCCAGTACGGCCGAGGGTGTAGACAGTCTGCTTCTCTCGAAGTGCTCTCACATAGCCACGCGTATATAGCCACTGTCAGGGAAACCCTACTCACAGCATTCCCGCGGCACGGGTGTTGTTTATAAAATTGAGAGGACGAAAAGCGAATGTCCGGCTCTTTACTCAGGTTGGTGGATACGGAGGGTCCACCCAAACTTATGGTGCACATAGGCTCCAGGATCCTGAAGGAACAAATGGCGTGTGAACTAATTGTTGGTCACCAACTACCATGGGACTGCACATCCTGACGTCGTTCCACTGCTCTGGCTGTGACCCCCTAAGAAAACTACCTGCTCCACTTTGAGCATCCGGGCAGTACCACAGCACACACAAATAAAATGAAATGGCAATAATCACTGGAAAGACTGCTCTCGCTCCAATTAAAATTCAGACAACTCACATGCATTTGATAACATTCATTTTTATCTTTCTTTATATTCCACGTCACTTATCTACTTTCTCCTACTCTAACTTTGTGTATCTTTATTTCTCAACCTCGACCGTTGCTGCTACCTTGACGTGGTGGTTGGGCTTGCCTATCGTGATGAAGCAACCGAGCTATACCGGCTGGAACAACCGTTCCTTAAGGTCCTACCATGTCAGACAGGTCGGTTGAAGAGCGGTAAGACTAAAAGCAACAAACCCAAGGTCCGAAGGCGAAGTCGTACTGCTGACTGTACAGAGGTGTGACAGCAGTAAGGGGTTTCCTTCAGACAACCAGCATGACAGCGATGCTGCCT